CGGTATAAGCCTTCTTAACTTTTTAGACAACGGATAAGATAAATTCTGAGACTGAATACCTTGAGCAGGATTCGAAACCATAATCCAACATAGCGACCTAACATACTAAAGTATTATTCCTTCCTTGTTAATTCACTAATAATTAATACCATCATTACCACAATTGAAAACAAAATAATAACGGTTTGGGTTCTCTTAACTGTTCCAGCTTTAGCTTTTATGTCTGAAATATCGGTCTTCTCTGAGTTCTCATCAGATATCATTTCGAAGATGGCTGTCTTCTGGATTGTTGTTCAGTGTATTCTGGTAGAAGTTCAACAACGACGAGTAACTATCACCCTGATAATGGAGGCAGCAAAGACCTGTTAAACGTCGGTAAACTTCTACCAGACTACACGGTGCAACAACCCAGAAGACAGCCATCTTCAGACTCACTGTCATGAGAACCTCAAATCCTACAAATCTCATTTCCCTTTACGTGGAGTGAAGTTGTCCCACTAACTTATTAAACACCAGTCCATCAAGGCCGGCATTAGTGGCACTAAGGCTTCATTTATTATTGACTTTGGCACTTTTCTAAGACCCATCGTTCCATGTTTTATGTGTACCATAAATATGAGTCGAAGCCAATGTCTCATGGGCAGTCCACTGAGTTCGGAGGCGAATTTACGAAACCCCACCGTCATGCGAACTCTAGAAGAAACATGATTCCATGCCCTGGGTCTCCCAACAAAGCGGGGGCTTGAAAAAGGGAGAGTGTGGTCAGTAAACTGAGAAGACACACATCGTGGATATTGATTATTGGCTTAATCAATTATGCAACACACACGAGGAAAGAACACGGCTGTGTGATAATTTTCAGGGAACAGATAGAGTTATTAGCTTCATATGGGCTGTTACGTAGCTTAATAAGTTTAAGAGTGTACGGTGTATTGTTGAAAATGCAACTGTTTCTATTGTGCAGAATTGTGGAAAATGTTACATGGCTAGTATGAGAGAAAAACATTCATAGGGAGCCCTAAGCATAGGTGGGAGGATAATATTAAAATTAATCTGAAATAAATCTGTTGGGAGGATGTAAACTGGATTCATCTGGCTTAGGATACCAGTGGTGGGCTCTCGTGTACACAATACAAACTTTAGGTGATTTGGATGTCTTTGAATTTCTTGAAAGGATGACCGACTATTAGCTTCTTAAAGACTCTATTCTGTGGAATTTGTGTATGCGTAACCTATAGTCCAGTGGTTGCAGACTTTCGTTTCTAGTCTATTCGGTCGGCGGTCTAGGTTGTAAATAAAAAAGAATATTTGCAGACTGAGGCGAAGTGTATGCGTGTATCACCGTTCAATATCGTTTCGAAGAATTTCCATTTTCATGAACGTCAGTACGAGAGCCACTGCAAAGAAGTAATTTTTTAGTAACTCACCATATGTAATATGGCTGCCATACGAATGTGTAACGAGAACAAAACCGACGTTTCAGAGGGGATTACTAACTAACGCCTCGTGAAACGTCGGTCAATATCTACCAGAGTACACGATGTAACATCCCAGGAGACGGCCATCTTTAGACTAGTCGCCGTGAGAAAGTAAAATTTTACGGCTATTAAATTTTATTTTCCACAATATCAAAGAATTTTTACGCTGCTGAGTAACAATAAACTTTTGAAGAATTTCCCTAATCATCGACGATTTATTCCGGACTTGTTAAAATGGTAGGCCCAGTGATCTATTTCCGTGTATCTCATAAACTTTTCATGAAAGCTTCTTATGAATACGGTGTACGAAGTGTTCCATTATGTCGAGCGCGTCTGAGGCACCCACATCGCAGCTCTTAATACCGGGGGATGAGGTGTTAATCCTGTTGAAATACGAGAGCTCTCATAGAACGTCCCTGAGTGCTTACTCGGTGTCCTTGTCCAACAGCTGAGCCCACATTCCACAGTCTGGCTCAGTGACTGAGGCAGAAACCAGAACTAGTTCTTAATTCGGACAAGCAAATATATTAGACGACCTGAAGATGGCCGTCTTCTGGGTTGTAGTAACGTGTAGTCTGGTAGAAATTCACGTCGTCAATTTCAAGCCTATAACTCCTTTAAATTGGGGACCTAAGTGTAACTCAGTCTGATCTTTAAACTTGTCAACCAATCCATAAATAATTAATCAACCGACTGATTTGGGATGGATATAAGTGACTCACGACATAATCCAATAATGCCCATTGTTTCGCACGATGGAAATTCTGAGTTCTGTGAATAAATAAAGCTGTCCCACTACACGCCATGTAGACGCTAGGGGGGAGAGCAGGTATAGTTCCTATGTGAATATTATGTTAAGTAAGTCAAATGTATTTCTGTACGTTGCTATGTGACTGGTTGCTATAGACAAGGTTCTGTTACAGCTACATGGGTTGGAGGAGGTTACATCAACGGTACAGCCGAAATGATCTACACGTCGGGTTTGATTTGGTGCCAGGCGCCCTTTGGATACGCTCTCAGCCTAGTATTAGGTAAGGAAGCCTGATTTGTGACTAAATTACCAACCAATTAACTAATGAACAAAATAAACAACTAGACAAGTAAACAATCAATCATCCAACCAACAAAGTAACGGACCAACGATTAAACTAAGCCCATAGTGTGCAAAATACAGACCTAAGAGATAAAAATGCTTGTATATTAGTAAAATTTAGGGTTTTCAAAAATTGAAACTGGGTGTTAAAAATGTGTTTCGTGAGATTTTGTTACCACGATGCGTGTTTCACAAACGAAAGTAGAAGCAGAACAGGCGAAAAAATTCTTTATTACCACTGAACTGAAAAAAAGTCTGGGCTAAATGTATCCAGCGGGTAGACCTAACTCGCAAGTTGGTGTGTTCAGGCGGCATTTTCTTCGCGAACAAGATGCGACAGCAAGGCTATATCACCATGCTGGACCCCCTGCAAGACTCCTTCGGAGAGAGAATGGGAGGATTGCTTTTCCTGCCTGCCCTCTGTGGCGAGGTCTTCTGGGCTGCCGGCATTTTGGCTGCTCTGGGTGAGTACCGACGCTATCGAGAATTGATATGTAGGTTATCAATGTCTGTGTAATTGTACAGACATGCAAGAACTATATACAATTAGATTGTACGCATAGACACACACGCACAATTTAAAATAGATTTTAAAATATCACTCTGAGAGCCATGAATACTAAGACGGAAAGAGGACAAAAATAGTGTAACTTTGTGTTTAGATAATTATCCTATAATATCTGAAAGACTCGACTAGATAAACTTACGCGGAGAATACCGATTAATGGATAGACAGAGACGTCTCTTTTATTCGATTAAATATCTTTGTTGCTTGTGAGGGTTTGTTTTTGTATTTATTTATTCTTTGGTTATTCTGTATCGTGATGAAAAGATATTCAAGATATATAAGGAGTGTTTATTTTAAAAGGGCCCTAACTGTTGCACACGGCCTCCACGCTAGACATTTTTTGTATAATGTTTCATTGTAAACTAAAGCCTCAATTTATAAAATTGGGATTTATTTTTCCTTCGGCTTATATGATCTGATACCTATCATAATTTCGGATTATCAATAACATGATCATGCCTTTTGCTGCATAATAACAGCAAATGTTTTCGAATCCTTGCTTGAGAGTCATACGAGGTTTTCCACAGGCGCCACACTCAGCGTCATCATCGATATGGACCATCGAACGAGTGTCATCCTCAGCTCCTGTATCGCTATTATCTACACACTCTTTGGCGGACTTTACAGCGTCGCTTACACAGATGTAATACAGCTGTTCTGCATCTTTATTGGACTCGTGAGTAATCTTAAGATACTAAAGAGCATCTGTGTATCGATATAATACTATGAAGACATAAATCGTCATACTCACCACTGTGAAAACCTCAAATCTTACACGATATAATATTATTTCGCTTGGACAGATGGCGAGATAAGATGATAGTACAAATGGTGTCATGTAGTAGTAAGAATAATGACTTATGGAAGAGACAGAAAGTTCAGTAGCACAAATTTGATTGTAGTAATTTTTGTAGCTTTGAAGAAGAAAGGGTTTTAATTAGGAACTATTATCTTTGCACATATTTTAGTAACATTTGCTAACCATTTTAAGTGTCTGTAATTTTCCACGTCATGAAATTGATACATCAGTTGGGATAAAAGATAAGAACAAAAGAAGTAATAAAAAATAACGACTCGAAAATCTGAGAAAAGGATTTTGTTTATCAATATTTAAATTCAGGCATATTAAATATTTTTAAAACAGACTGCGTTTGTGGGTATAGTACATTTTCCAGAATATGTAGTGACTATTTTATTAAACAGCTATAACAAGCAGATCTTTGTATCGGAGAAGATCAGTGCTAATTTTGTGAGAAAATGTTTTTAGATGATATTGCTGCATTAATTTGATCAAGTATGACTATTTATTGCAGTGGATGTGCATCCCGTTTGCGATGTACAACGAGCATGTTGGATCTCTCTCTTCGGATGCTGTTGATTGGATCGGTACAGTGGAACCTTCTCAATACTTTTATTACATCGACAATGGACTACTTCTTATCTTTGGAGGAATACCATGGCAAGTGAGTCAAAGACAAAGAATAGAGTAAGACGAAAATCAACTAAAGTAATGATGATGATGATGATGATGATCTTCTAGATTTTGGGTCATTGCTACAACCCTGAAGATGGAGGCAGTATGTTTTTCCGAAACGTTTAATCTACCGACGAATCTACACGGCGCCAAAACCCAGAAGCTCATCATCCCTACCGCCGTGAAAACCTCAAATCTCATAAATGAATAAATCATTGTAATTCATATAGTCTTTCTCTATGAAGGAAAATAAAAATTAGAAGACTTTGAAAATAATTTGCAAGTAACATTTTAAAAACTAGTAAACAATAATTAATTAATGAAAAATGTACACGATATGTTGATTGGAAATCCTGATGGGAAGAGACCAATAAGGAAACTTAGGAGTGGGTGGAGGATAATATGTAAAAGGGTCTTAGGGAAATCGCATCTGGGGGTGTAGATTGGATTCATGTGGTTAAGGTTAAGGACCGATGGTGGGGTTCTGTAAGGACGACAACGAACCTTCGGATTCCGTAACATACAAGGAATTTCTTAACAAGCTGAATGTACTGTTAACTTCTCAATAAATACCCTATTCCATGGAGATAGTTATTTAATATTTACTAAATACATGCGACGCCCCTGATGATGGAGGCAACAAACGTCTCTGAAACGATGGTAAACTTCTACCAGACTACACGGCGCTACATTCCAGAAGACCGCCATCTTCCGACTCACCACCGTGAAAACCTCAAATCCTACGCATACGTCTTGTTTCAGGTGTACTTTCAGAGGGTGTTGTCCAGCAAAACAGCAGCCAGGGCCCAGATATTGTCATATGTCGCTGCGTTCGGCTGTATCATCATGGCGATTCCGCCAGTGCTGATCGGCGCCATTGCAAGATCCACCTGTAAGTTTTTATCGTACGCCTATAAATCCGCTAATAAAGGCAGGTCTCATTCTGACGAAGATTATTCTAAACCCCATCGCAAACCTCGTGTCTCCTCATGTTTCAGCGTGGAATGAGACGGGTTATAAGGGAGTCTATCCACTGTCTTCTGAGGAGACCAGCATGATCCTCCCGATGGTCTTACAGTACCTGACGCCGAGCTTCGTGTCCTTCTTCGGTCTGGGCGCTGTCTCTGCCGCGGTTATGTCTTCAGCGGATTCCAGTGTTCTGTCAGCTAGTTCCATGTTCGCACGTAACGTCTACAGACTCATCTTTCGACAGAGGGTTAGTGCTTACGAGTCACACGAAATGCATCTACACTGCTCTTGTCCTTGATTTTTCACAGGCTTTCGTTCATAGGTGGCCTCAGATGTTTTCGGGTAAACTTTGCAGTTGCCATCTTAAGGCTTAATGGAAACTGAAATGCTTGTCCAAACTTTGGATGACTATGAACATTTGACCCCGAGAGCGGAAGTTAAGCATGCCTAAAAGGTGTTCATGAAATGAGCACTTTCCCTTGCATAGCAGCAAATGTACAAGTCTGGCTCGAAAGAAGTTGCATTTGACGTCCTAGGGGGAAAAAAAGTGCCCATTAGCTTAACCACAACCGTTTGTCTGCATGTCTGCCTAAAAATTTGGGGACGGTTAAACGGGCTGTCACGAAATTTGATACTGAGGAGTTAAATTAAAATCTCTAAAAACACTCAAATTTTTATTAAGACCAAACAGGTCCTTTATGCGTATCTGCGCATGGAAACGGCTAGGTGGGGAATCCCCACGTTACCCTGGATACAATAACCCCTTTCGTCTCCTATGCTACCTCGGTTAATATTATTTCCACCTGCTTGCGGAATCCCCATATAACTGCGCAACCACGTTAAGGAATTACCTGTAATGATGTCATCATCCAGCCAGACAGGCTCCAGATACTCCAGAAACTTTGATGCCATGTACGCCATACAGAGAGATCAAAGATTAAATTCTCCTAAATAAGCTACAATTGTTATGCTATTTTTATATTTACTAAATTGTTCAATTCATTAAAAGTATTTCTATACGGGGCTCCATTTATCGAATTTTTTTAAGGCACGTAAGAATGAAGGGAAATGAAGAATAGCTACAATAGAGTGATGACGTTATCCAGCGCATTATGCACGCGACGAGACTGTCATCTGGAATTTGTAAAAGACTGTCATAAAAATAAGTTCTTGGTTTGAGTCTCGATGTTATTATTCTGAGCTGTGACGTCTTGTGGACTTGTGGAGGAACGTATCGTCTCAGTTTTAGGACTGCTTTCTTCAGTCCTAAAGACAGAGAGTATGTTTCTCCGAAACGCTGATATTCACCAACAAGTGAAGTTGGCGTTATTATCCAGAAGACAGACATTGACCACAGTGAGAACCTCAAATATCTTCCACAGACTTAAGTCAAAGAAATGTCCAGCTCAGATAATTACAAAATGCTTGCCTTGGTATACAGCAGAACAATTTCTGTTGAATCTCACAGGTAGGTGCAATACAAAACAAGAAATTGTATCCAATTTATTACGAGTACTAGAGTGTGTTACCCAGTTCCTCTTTGCAGGCTTCTGAGATGGAGATTATTTGGGTAATGAGGGTTTCGATCTTGGTCGTTGGAGCGCTGGCAACAGTAATGGCACTTACTATCCCTTCCATCTATGGCCTTTGGTAAGTTCCACAATCTGTACCGTTTAACAAATACAGAGTAAGTCACAGTTGGGTCCCGATTTAAATAAACACTGAGTATTTATTAAAATGAAAATTGCAAAACAGAGTTTTCCCCAACACGATTTTCAATGTAACATATACGCGGCTTTGTTCAATTTAGTGTTATAATTCTTTTAATCGGTACTTAATTATGATTTACTTTTTATTATTAGGTGATGAACAAAAGGTGGTCTGAAGGCATGTAACACTAACTGCTGCTATATATTTTTTATTGTATAATTTTTCTTGTAGGTTATCGTGCCTAAATGCAGTCTTACGTCCATGTCTCTTGTCCTCAGGTCCATGTGTTCAGACCTCGTGTATGTGATCCTATTCCCACAACTGCTGATGGTGGTACACTTTAAGCATCACTGCAATACGTACGGTAGTTTAACCGCTTACATCGTCGCCTTCTTCGTCAGAATGACAGGAGGAGAGCCGTTACTTGGGTTGCCCGCCATGATACACTACCCGGGTTGGGATGGCGAAAATCAGCTGTTCCCGTTCCGAACCATGGCCATGCTCATGTCTCTTGTTACTCTCATCTTAGTTTCTTGGGGCACCAAGTAAGTAACCGCGCGTCTGAACATATACAGGGCGTTCGTTTTAAGAGGAAAGCTACTTTACTCGACATCGCCGTGTTGACATCGATAGCTTTTGGCAGTTCTTTTCAAACCCTGGTCGTGGTTTTGTCTCGTATAATTTATTTACTAACACTTTAATCTCTTGATACACATAATACGCAGTCAGTTTTTACAGAATACCTGTAAATTATATTGCGTTTATTTCGAAACTGCTTCTCCCTATTTGTAATAACTGTTATTAATAACAACACTTAATTACCACCTACTGCACAAGTCTTGACTTATTATTTTCGGACCTTTTCAGAATTCTGAGCATTTCTGTACCAATGTCTCTAAGACACAAATTAAGCAATTCGAAATTCTAGGGTTTTTTTCATACAAATATACAGATATTTTATTCCAATAAAGGGTGTTTGAGTCGGAACTGTTTGGCATCAGTTTATTTTTGTAGGAATATCGACAATAAAGTTCAATGGCGATGACCGTCTTCCAGGATGGTGCACCGTGCAGTCTGGTAGAAGTATACTGACGTTTCAGAAGTGCTTGTTGTTTCCATAATCAGAGCGATTCTCATTGATGAAGGCAGCAAACACCTGGCCAACATCGGTTACTTATACCAGACTGCAGCAGGGAGTAACAACCCAGAAGACATTCATCTTCGTACTTGCTGGTCTAAGAACCAGAAATATTACAAACTTAGTTCCTTTGATAACGCGTGGATGTCATCTTCACGCCAATGCCCACAGGTGGATCTTCGAGACCGGGAGACTTGCACCAGGTTACGACATCTTCCGATGCGTGGTCAACATTCCCGAGGACGTGGAGCGAGTCGACGAGCCTGCCGAGGGCGGGGAGCAGATGGCCGTCATGACGAGTGCCATGCGGCAGTACGGAGCGGCGACCATGGTCGGAAAGGACGAAATGAACGGGCGAATCAACCCGGCGCTAGAGCCGGACGACGACATGGACATGGCTGAGGTAGAGAAGACACGAGGGGTTCGGCCGAGGGTCGTCAGTGGCACGACGGCCGGGGGAGGGGGGAGTAGGGGAAATCCATCGACGGGAATCCCCGTGAATGAAAACGGTAGCAGCCCCAAACAAGGACAAACATCGCTCTAAGGCTAAGCGACTTGCTTTAAGGCTGTATTCAAAGAATTTCCGTTACAAGTACCTTCTTAATTTCTCGGTGAGTGCGCTGCAGTATTACCAAATATGAAAAAAATTAATAACTGAGACAAGAAAAAGGATAAAAAAGGTGGTTTATCAATTAGCAAAATAACTGGTCATTAAGACATAAAAGTCAATGTAATTGTGATTATGTTAATAATCTATATGTCATATTAAGAACGTAGCCAGAATTTGGTCATTATGGTTTCAAATCAAGCGTTATATAAAGCCGACGGACAATTATCGATACTAAAATAATTCTAGTATTGAAAATTTATAACAGTATTTAATTTAAATTTTAGGTATCTATTATAATGTGAGTACAACAGATACGTATGCCATTCGAAGTTAAATTTTTACCTCAGAACTTTTAAAATAAATGGCGTAGCGTCCAAAGTCTTAAACTGGCGTTAGAAGACAGAAAATAAGGTCACCAATACGAGGATCAAATGTTTAATGCTGTTAGGTAAATAATCACACAGTGAGAATGACACAAAGCCTATAATTAGACTCCGTGTTCAATATGCGGAATTATTAGATGTTAAAGCATGTGATACATATAGTTACCACAGTGATTTATCGGGATAATCGTGGCAGCTGTATTAAATTCGCATATTATGTCGTGAAACAAAATATTATAACTTTTTCCGTCCGACCAGTCAGAAAATATGAGACTGTATTTCAGTACTGCAGAAAGTTAACATTTCGATAAAAAAAGTCACACTTCATAAACAGATATTTCACAGATTACATTAATGCATATGCAGATTTATTAATGTAGCATTTAAATTGAAAATGTCGAAAACAGAGATTTAAAGTTACTTACAGAGATTTTAATTTTTAAATAATGAAAGAAAATATTACAGAAATTAATTTCTCATAGTGTGGTATTATTCCCTCTAGTACCCTGTCTCCTCGCCCAGCCTTTACCTAGAGACCACAAATAACTATGTGTGGTACATATCATAAATGAAGTATCGTAGTATAATTTAACTATTATTTGTGCTGTGTTTTAAGAACAGGGGTGTAACATACTGACCTTCAGAAACAATTTTAATCGCTTGTTAGAGTACTTGGTAATCGTGGGCTTTAATCTTAAACTGTTTGTAAGTTCTGTGTAGGGGTACAAATCAGTAATATTATTCTTGGTTAAATGTTTGGCAGGCTATAGATGTGCCAATATCCCGTGGCGAATCCATGCAAATGAAAACATTTGCCATGGTTTACTGATGATGATTCAAGGACTAAAGCTCAACTCTTCAATGGAGGAGTTTGGGCATCATGAGGTACAACTTCGGAAGCCGCGTTGGGCTTCAAGTGACTGTCAGTTTTATTTATATGGATAATGGAAGTCTCTATAATAAACACAAATGATCTTAGCGTTTAGTATGTTTGTATTATACAGAAAGTATCACTAAATAAAAACAGATAAGTCCCATTGTTCTAACCACAACATTGTTAGATGGAAATTAATAAGATATGCTCACTGACGTTCTGTTATTTGGAATTGTAATTATAGATGTATATAAATATCGATGTAAATTCACGTGTCACAAATGTGATATTCTAACATATCAACATGATTTTTATCAGTGTATTGTTTTGAAAAATCAGTAGACGATCTAGGGGAGGGAATGCCCGCTTTGTTCACAAACATCAATGAATATATATGGGATTTTCACAAACTTCTATATGTCGCGATAATGTGAAATGGATTGTTACAGTGGTCACAAACATTTTTGTGTAATATTAATCCCGTGGGACATAAGTTTTAATTGAGATTTGCTTGAAATCGTATAGGAAAAAAATTATATAATATATATTTACGTACTGATAGGCATTTTTATTTATAGTGTAGACAGTAAACTTTACTATATAATTGTTAAAGATATTTAAATTTCATTTATTTTCAATGTGTAATAGTAATATGCATTTAAACGTTACATAATAAAAGACTGTCACGAAAATGTCGAAACAAAGCGGATGAAAGAAATGTTTATCATAGAGTATCAATGATTATTAATGCTTTGATGAGGAGGGGAGCATTTAATGACCAATAGCAGCTCCGGTATTAGAGTAAAGGAAAATATCATTATAAAACGCGATCTATTTTATGTTACATAATATAATGTAAACGTTGATATTATTGACACATAATGCCACTGTTGTTGTTGTAAACGTAGCGCCTAGAGTATAGACAATTAGTAATGTCACGCGGCGAGACCGAATGAGAATTGTCCATAAACTGGAGAACTATGTTTTCGATTTCAAAACATTATTTCGTGTCTTCCATATTGTTAATTTCAGACATGAATCCCCCTTATACATCCACTGATAATAAAACTAATAAACACGTTTTAATTTAATGCATTGCATTGCTCTTAATTTCGTGAATGCTAACTGATTTATCACTATAATATAAATACAGCAGATTAAAAATATTTTGCTTAATGCAAATACGACCGTTTTCACATGTACGAGTTATCTGAAATCAACATTATAAATTATGTCCTAAAATGTACATAATATGTCACAATTTGGTCGTTGTTCAGAAAAATTATAACTCTGATATGAACAAAGCTGCGGATATGATATAAGTATTGGTGCAAACGTCATATTTGTTCTTACAATTTAAATTGTTTTCACACGCTTAATACCCACAACCCCGTTCATTCCAGTGTCATAATTTCTTTAAATCGGGACTTAATTGTGGTTCAACCTGCGTTTTGTTGATCTCATACCTTCTCTGATATGCATAGTTCACAGTTTAAGAATCGCGAAGGTCTAGATAAATAATTCCAATATTTAACCATAGAAATTAACAGGCATTTGTTTAGATATATGTACTAAAATGGACTTCGAAATCACATCTCAAAAATTATAGACAAGAAACAAAATAATTAATTATACCTCCTGTATTGATTACTTAAGTGTGACATTACTGTAATGAAATATTTGTTCCTTTAGTATCATCTGAAAGACATGTTTATAAAAAAAAACTTGTATAGGTGGCACACACAAAATGTTACAAGAGCAAAGTCATTATGAGCTTCTACTAGTGTCCTAGCAATGTTATAACATGGCGTATAACAGTAAATGTTGGTATTTTATGACAGACGAACACACGTATAACCCTATAATTAAAGATGCGAATATTAAGATTAAAGCTACCTGCGCACCGATACCTTTCTCTCTTGAATGATAAGTGATCCCAAAGCAATAGTCACGTGATGTCCCCCCTGCGAAAATATCGTAAATGTAGCCTTTCGTATTGTTATATTTGTGGAGTAGTTTAATAGCTTGTTGGGCTGTTGACGGAAGTTTTTAACACGTGTGTATTTTCTGTGCTCAGCAAAGCGTTGCTTGAAGAAGAATTACCAAATGTTATTAAAATATTTAAGTAATGTTAATATTTCATTCATATAGTTTATGAAGTATTTTGTGTCCATAAAACAATTAACATTTTATGGGTTGATTCATTGATGTTATAATTACGTAATTCATTTATAAGGTTGCTGTAAGAGATTAAAACATTATTTTGTAAAAGTGCTCCTGACGCACACCTCTGGTTCGCCATTCTGTTTATTTCTTCGCATGGTGGGAAGAAAACACTTCCATGTCTATATTTTTCATTTCAGGCATTGGTATTATGTGCGTACATACAGGTTGTGCCAGAAAGATGTATATACACATTATAATATGAAATGCTAATCTTATGCGTTTATTTATTTTTGTGGTCATTTTGCATATACATTTACAAAACACTAATTAATTTGAAAATTAGTGTTTGGACTTCCTGTTTAGCATAATATATTAAAGCGACTGGTTACAATCTGGGTGACAGGAATACCAACATTAAAAGGAGCAGGAATATTTCTCTTCACCAAGGTGACCACTCATCTTCATCTAATGCCTAGATGAGGAGTGCGTGGAGCTATACCTCCACTCCCCCATACGTCTTTATTTTTCACTTTTAAAATTAAAGCCGCTTTCAGTGACGGTTGGGCAGTGTATGTAAGCTGCTTCTACATTTGTGGAGGGATAAATTATTTGTAACAACTTTTTACATTACGATCTATATTCCACGGATGTGTGTTCATTTGTGCAAGGAGTTTTGACGTGTTCGCGTGCTTGATTGCACATTGTTCCTTACGTATCCGCTGGTCTGTAAGTTGACTGACACCAAAAGCCGTAGTACCTATTTCACAGAATTCATACATTACGTCGTAAAATTTTTCAGTTATATTTAATAGAGGATTCTCAAAATGTGTGTCATATGTTACCCGCCAATGTGGTATACAAGGCCCATGTAAATTATTGTAACTCTGTATGATAACAAATAGTTGCCTCATGTCAGAAAAACACTTTGTTAATATCGCCAATACTTGGCCGTGATCAACGTCAAATCCAGAATTAGGACGAGTCTAAGACGGACACGAAACCTGATAATGAAAGACTGGTCTCGCTAGATCAGAGTCAAGTAACTCATCCACTAAGGACTAATATTGCTAAAGGAAATTATGAAAAAAATATGTGAACCTACTCTAATATGATATTTGTATCAAAATTCGAAAAATGTTTTGATAGAAATACATTGATGTAATTTTTATACGAAAAGAGGCTTCAACAATTTGGGAAATACTGTTTCGTTCCAACATGGTAGAGATCGTGTTAAAATATTTCACACTCTTCCACTAGACGGTAATGGTAAATGAACATCTTGTTTCATAAATTGTACAACACATCTTGTGCGTGATAAGAAAGTTTGAAACTCAAATTTCCAAGATTACAATATTGTCATTAAATCTATATTTTGTTGGCCACTATCCCATTGTTTTAATACAGTATATTTTATACAGACTTCATTTCGGAGATTTATTCTGCTTCTGTTTTTAGGTTATTGGTCGTCATTTTATTATTTTTTTTAAAATGAGAAGACAGGAAAAGCAAAGCTAACTCAGGAAGTCAGTGTAGTCCTATAAAAATATATCGTAGATAATCGACATGTAAATATAATATTGATGCAATCAATCTATTAGTCACAAACCTTCTAAGAAAAAGCACGCATTGTAAAAAGTATGAATACTACATTCTTTAAACGGGCTACACTTTAACATAATGGCGGACCAGGCAAAATAAATTTTCATACACATAACTTGACATTTCAGTAATTTAACAATTAATTATAATGTAATGTACGGTTTGTATTTTAATTGAGCTGTGTTTCTCGTACGCTTAATAAATTGATGTATACTGAAACTTCGATGCATATCACATTCAACATATCATACTAATATTTAAAGTGTTACTTAAAGAAACGCAATCTCGGTGTGATTGGTTGAGTTGACAAGTCTATTGATCATGTTCACAAAATGTTCTGTTTGCATGTTATCCAAGTTTTCTCTGATATATGGACTTGAGGAATATAAGATTATTATAGATTTTCATGCAGTATAAGAAAACGCAAACACACGTCATATAGGGGCCTAATACTATTGAACAAAAATCTAAAAGAGGAGAGTAGAGGTAAGTGATAAAACTAAAGACGGAGAGGAAAATGTGGGTGTAGAATGCAATAAATAATTAAACTTCTATTTTATTTCGATGTAAAAAAGTTATAGAAAACCCTGCTAATTGTTTCCTTACAATGTGAAGACAAATAATTAGACGTTTATCACTAAATGATTAATGTAGAGAACCAACAAATGTAATGATGTGAAAATAGACTGTGTATTACATTATTATAATAATGACAACTGTAAAACATGTGTTTTAGTAGTGAACTGTTTACCACAAACAGACAAAATATAGAAATGATACTGAAATATAAAGTTCATTGCGTTTAATTTATTACCAGTCATGCCCGGGGCACCTCGTCTCAAATAATCCTGCAAAATGCGGATGTGAGGACCGAAGGAGAGACGAGAGTTTAATAAATCAACTATGCTCACATTTATAGACACCAGCTCATCCTAAATATATACAGGCTTTTAAAGTAGCCACTTGCAGATGTCTTAAGGATTACAGCCTGAAGAAGGAAACAATATATTTCTCCGAAACCCTTTTTAATTTTTTTCAAGACCAAGGCTTTACTTTTTATTCTATTTTTCAGCACAGTTTCGGTTGGCTGAGGACTAACACATGGGAAGAAACTAAGATGGAGTAAAAATATAACGTATTTATGTGCTTGACAATGGCAATGATTTCACCACCATTTATCAGACATTCGGCAGATAAACTGACATTAAAGTCTACAGAGGTAGTTCGATAAGAATCAGGTCTACAATTGTCCCTTGCGAAATAAGCTTTTGTGTTATATAACAAGGGAATATGCTATTACAAATATATAAAACTCTTTATTGAATTCAAAATGCGTAAAAAATATTATACAGTTAATAGATTATATATACAGGCAAGCTGATATTTTCAAGAAAATACAGAAAACTGTACACCAATTTGTCATGTGAAAATTTAGATTCAGAAATGCCATTGATATTCTTGTAAAGCTATTATGATGACAAGAATACACAAAAAAGTAAAAATTGCACTGTAAAATAGTCATCAAGTTACGATTCCATTATCCAAGTCTGGAAAACCACACACTTTGTATTAATGCCCAGCTCAAGATTTCTCATACCTAAAACATTGAACTAATGTACTATATATACACGATTAAGCGAAATTAACAAAATTCGAAGTTTAGGGTAGAAGAGAAAACATGCAGACAATGTAATGATGCAATATATTATACAACTTAAGACTCACACATGAATACTTGCAAAAACCATGACAGAACATATGAGGCAAACTGTGAAATCTCACTTCACTGAGGTAGGATATTTAATGCAGGAAATGGTTACAATTTTTGGTCAAATAAAAAATTTCACAAACAGCTGCTTCAATTATAAAGTTGTTCTGAAAAACAAAGATCCCTTATGCGACAGATGAGATACAATTTAACATTAAAACTTGACGAAACGTTGGGTCTTTCTTTACTGTGTTTCAGGTGGATAACTGTAGCTTCCAAAAAAATACGAAGTATTTCAGATTAAGAACTGCTAGGGTAATCATTAATTAAAGATAAAATAAAATAATCGAAACAGTAATAGGAATCTCCATCAATAATTTTAAAATTTTTATCTTCAAAATCTCCAAAAATGAGTGGAGTTTAGTGAAACGCTATGACCTTTTTAAAATATATATATATAAAAATTTGAATACAAAATGGCATTTATGATAACTAAGAACTTTCAGACGTCTCACGTGACTCGTGTTAATAACTTACGTAACTAAAATCTTTATTATAACGCAAATTTTAAAAAACTTATCGAGCGTAATAGTATATTTCATTCCAACATACTATCACGGAAGTTAAAGAAAATATAAATCTGAATACTTCAATTTGACCGGATAATGAAACCTACGTAATTAATACACATAACCCCCATTGCTTGCATAGTTTTGCCCTATAGTTGCTGGAACCCCGTAACTCCTTGACGGTGCGCCTCCTTGAGACGATTTACTCGACGAGCTGAAATATCCTGAAGCCCTTGATGGCCCAGATGCTGGTGCCCCATAATTCTGGGATGGCGGGGCAGGGGGAGCACCGTAATTTCCAGAAGGTCTGGATGGAGCGCCATAATTTTGAGATGGACTTCCAAAGAAACCCGACGAAGCACTTGGAGCTCCGTAATTTGATGTAGGTGTTGAGGGAGCGCTGTAGGTGGTAGCTGGTCCTAAAGGAGCACTATAGCTTTGAGATGTCGAAATACTAGGAGCGCCATAACTACCGGAAGGAACTGCGCTCGGAGCACTGTAATAGCTTGGCTGTCTGGATGGTACTCCGTAACTCTGTGATGGAGCACCACCTCCAAAAGATCCAGAGCTGCCAGGGGCGCTGTAGGTTTGTGAAGGGTTTCCTCCACCAAACGAACCGAATGCTTGGGCTGCGTAATTACTTGGTGGCGCTGAAGGGATGGAAGGAGTTCCATAACCTTGAGATGGCGCTCCACCGCCAAACGATCCAGAGGGGGCTCTGGGAGCTCCGTAGTCTGAAGAGGGACCAGCGGGCACTCCGTAGCTGGTAGATGGCGGGGCAGGGGGATGTGGAGCACCATAGGTTCCGGATGGCGTGTATGGTCTACCTGACGGCGCTGCTGGTGCACCATAGCTGGAAGATGGTGCTCCAAAGCTTCCAGTTCTGGAACTACTGTATGATCCGGATGATACTGACGGGGTTCCATACGACGAAGATGGTTGTGATGGTGCGCCATAGCTCGGTGAAGGACCACCACCAATGCTTCCACGCCCAACAGCGGAAGCTACGTAAGTAGATGATGGAGAAGCGGGAGCACCATAACCCGAAGAAGGGGAACCTCCAGTGAATCCAACACTCGGAGCTCCATAATTTGACGATGGAGCGACACCACCTCCAAATCCACCGCTAGGAGCTACATAACCGGATGAAGGTGAAGACAGGCTGGCATAATTGGAAGAATGGCCGTCATTTCCGCCTCCGAATCCACCATTTGGAGCTCCATAACTCGACGAAGGAGTACCACCACCTCCAAATCCTCCACTTGGAGCTCCGTAACTGGACGAAGGAGTGCCACCACCTCCAAATCCTCCACTACCAGATGCGTAACTCGACGCAGAAACACCACCTCCTCCTAATATGCCACTAGGGGCTCCATTAGAAAAAGATGGAGTACGACTTAATGCAAATGCTGCACTAGGAGCCCCATAGCCAGATGAAGGGATGCCACCTCCGCCTCCACCAGAATATCCTCCAGCGCCGAAACTGGAACTTCCTCCGACTGTCAGAATCAGTGATGTAGATTACAAATTAATATGACCACAATAAGGTTATTTGTAACATTATTTATGCTCTGTTCACGATGTGTGTGGAGTAGGCATCAAAAAATACTGACTAGAGAGCGATATTAAGTTCGTAGAATGAGTTGATGTCATGACGGCGAATTAATTGTTTACTAAATACTGAGTGACGTAGACCTGCACTATTATTATTGATGTACAAAATGCACAAAAATTAAATGTTACGAAGACGTTACTGGGCTAAACCTAGAGAAGAGACAATTCGAGTCATAGTTAGGTCGATATTTAATTTGTAGTAAGAAAGAATTATTAGCACATATTCCGTAATGTCATGGTTTTCAGCATCTACGGTTCATTGCAGATGACGTATTTACGTAATGTCATCAGGAAGTAAAGCTACTGAGTGGATCATATGTTAATCACACAGATAGCATTCAAGTAACTCAAGAACTTTTTCAAGTGATATTACGAGCCAGCTACTACCGCTTTCATATTCACTTTGCAGAAGAGTGAGAAAATATTTAGGCGATCAGAGCTAAGG